TGATCTCAGCTTTCCAAATTGCTCTCTTGCAATTCCTTTGGTCAAAAGGTCTGCAACCATATCCTTTTCCTCAGTCTTGGTCTTTGGACTCATTTTCTGAGAGAGTGTAACACTCAAATCCACAGGCGTTGTGACAGGGTTGCTGTCTTGCATATTGAAGGTTTTCAAGACTTCCTCAGCATATTTCTTTTGACAAATTGTGAGAGTGCCTTTGGCTCTGTCTCTGGTAATTTCAATCCCCAAGAAATAGCTTGTCTCACCCATATCAGTCATCTGGAACCTTTTGCGCATGTTCTCTTTGAACTTATTGATAGAGTCCAAATCCTTGCCAGTAATTATCAGATCATCAACATATACAGCAAGCAATAGGTTTGATTTTTTTGCTTCTGTAAATGCCATAGTCATCGCTTGACTGAGAGAAACCGATCTGTAGCAAGTAATCATGCAGCAGCTCATTCCAGCATCGTGGTGCCTGCTTCAAACCATAAAGACTCCGCTGTAATCTCCATACTTTCTTGCTGTTCTGAAAATATCCCGGAGGAGGCTGCAAATAAATTTCCTCTTCCAATTTTCCATAGAGAAAAGCAGTCTTTATGTCCATCTGATGAATATGGTAGTCATTGATAGCAGCATGAGCCAAAAGGATCCTGATTGATTCAAATCTGACCACTGGTGCAAAGGTCTCATCAAAATCAATTCCATATTCTTGAGTGAATCCTCTGGCAACAATCCGAGCCTTGTATTTTGTGAGCTGGCCATCCTTGCCATATTTCTTCTTGAAAACCCATTTGGAAGTAATTGCTTTTCTCCCACTAGGTAGTTCACTCCATCTCCACACTTGATTTTCTTGTAGAGAATTCAGCTCGTCCTCGCAAGCCTTGCTCCAGTGTAACCATTCTGGGCTTGCCTTTGCCTGCTGAATTGTCACTGGCTCTGCCGTATCATTTGTCCTGACTGCCCATGCTTGAAGACTGAGTGGATCCTCAGACTCACTTCTGTCGCTCCTGTCGAGAATCATTCGATCGCTGTTGATCCTGTTGCCGTCGAGCCTTCGTTTCTTTGAATTTTCTCTGATGAATCGAGCATCATCGCCGTCTGACTCTTCTTTGTCGAGATCCATCTCATCGTCTTCCTCATTGTTGTCCTCATAATCGTAGTCATTGAAATCGAATATTTTGAGAGTGCCCTGGGAGTTTCTTTCATCCCTTGCAATTCGCTGTCTGATTCGTTCCTCAATGGCGTCCACATCACGGATTTGCCGTCTTCTCGGCCCTTGGTCCTCATTGCGAGTAACGACTCGCATCTCTCCTTGATTTTCCTCCAAGTCGTGATCAATTTCCATGTCTTCAGACTCCTGAGCCTCGACCGACTCATCCTGAACATCCTCAGCTGGTTCATCATTTTCTCTTCTCCCACTTGATCTATTATCTTCTGATGATAGAGCACTGGATGGATGATGAACTCGAGGCCAAAAACCAATACTGGCTCCAAGTTGTTCAACTGTAACTTCTGAAGATCTTTCCAACCCGCTATCCAAGCGTGCAGGCTTGTACCAATCAAGCCCCAATGTTGTCTCATCGAAGACAACATCTCTGGCAAAAGTTACCCCTCGTGATGGGATATAAATCCTGTATGCCTTTTTGTTTGCAGCATAGCCAACCATCACTCCTCGGATTCCTTTTGGGGAAAACTTGCCACCAGCCTGAGTTTTCGATTTGTGAATCCATGCCGTACTTCCAAAGACCCGGAAGTAGGAAACATCAGGCTTCCTGCCAAACCAGAGCTCATAGGGTGTTGTGTTGGGCGCTATAGCTCTGCTAGTGATCCGATTTGCGACATGAACCGCGCATTTGATCGCTTCTGGCCAAAACTTTTCCGGCATTTTTGCCTCGATCAACATGCTCAATGCTTTCTCAATTAAAGTCCGATTCATTCGCTCAGCGACGCCGTTCTGTTGAGGAGTCTCTGCAACAGTAGTCTGGTGCTCAATTCCTTGTTCATCCAGGAATTTCTCCAGATCTTTCGAGGTGTATTCGCCGCCATTGTCTGACCTAAGGATCACCATCGTCTGTCCTAGTTTGTTGCTAGACTGACGAATATACGTCCTGATAGCCTCTGCCGCATCCGACTTATTTTCCAAGAAGTAGACGTTCACATAATGTGAGTAGTCATCGATCATTGTCATGAAATACTTCTCACCAGTCAAGGAATTGTAGACTGGTCCGCAAACATCGGTATGAACGAGTTCCAGTGGACGCGTCGTCTTGGTAGTGCTTTCCTTGAATGGTAGTCGATGAGACTTTGCAGCAGCGCAAGTATTGCACTTGCAACTTGAGATGTGAGTGTCAAGACCCTTGACAGTGCTGTGTCTTTGCATCTGCTCCAGGATCTGATCAGAGACATGTCCGAGTCTCTGATGCCATATAGAACTGACTGCATTGATTTTGTTGATATCAATTTCAGCAAACTGTCCATCAAACCGGCACAGCTCTTCGAATTTTGAGCGTGTTCCGATCTTGATCTTCTGTCCTTCCGAGGTGCTCACAAAACACTTCAGTCCTGCATCAATTGTCCAAACATCTGAATCCTTGCTCAGCATGCTGGTAGATACAAGACCCATCTTCGCTTCAGGCACATGCAGTACATTCTTGAGAGGCACAGTGTATTCCTTTCCTCTGTCCTGGACTTTGGCAAAGGCATTTCCTTGTCCCACTGCTCTCATATACTGCCCATTAGCAACCTCTAATATTGCTTCCAGAGGTTGATAATCCTGGAGAACGGCTCTGTTGGATGTAATGTGCCTGGTGGCTCCCATGTCGATGAACCACCCACTATCCTCAAGCCTTCCAGACTGATTTCCTGCCACCAACCCTGCCCTTTCCACCCGCTGTTCAGCACCGAGGTTGCTGTTAACCACAGCTGCATGGATCTTGAACTTGTTGTCCTTGTTCTGATCCTTTCCTTTAGGGCAGTCTCTCTTGAAGTGGCCTTCCTTTCCACACTTATAACACTTCAGTTTCTTCTTCCCTGAGTCTTTCACTGCAAGCAAGCTACCTCTGCCTTGGTTTCCTTGAGGCTTCCTGGTCAGGGAGGTCCTGACTCCACTGAAGACATCCTGGACTGTGAGCGTATCCTTCTGCTGCTCAAGGACTGAGATAGTGCCCTCAAGTGCATCTGGGAAAGATCTGAGGAGAATGGAGGCATAGACATCTTGAAGTTTGACATCTAGCTGGTCCATCTGCTCAAGAACCCCCATAAACTCACGCTCATAGGACTCAAAGGCTTCAAGTGTTGCTTCCTCCAACTTGAGGAACAACAACTTGGCCACCAAAGAGGCTTTGACTCCTGCTGCATCACTCATGTATACACCCTGAAGATTTTTCCAAGCCTTCCTAGCATTACCGCATTTCAAGTGCCGATAATCCTTGACTTGTACCGCGCCCATCATCAATATAAGAGCCTGTCTGTTGATTGACTCAAAGTGGGGAGCCTCCTCTTGTGACTTTATGTCAAGGTCACTCAAAGGTGTGCCCACAACTCCCCACAGGCCCTTCTGGTCCATCACCATCCTCAAGGCAAAAGCCCATTCAGAGTAGTTGAGAGCATTAAGGATTGGTAACTTCAAAGAGTCATTGCCAGGGCTCATAACCTGTTGCAAATTGTCTTTGCCAGTGGAAGTTCCAGACATATTGAAGTTGTCAGAGTTATCCATTGATGATGATCTTCCTTAAGTGTGCTTTGATATGTAATATGATATGTTGTTCATTGAATGATATGTACAAAACAAGGGAGGGAGCTGGTCAATATATAGACAAAATAAGTTCATACAAAGCTTATACAAAGTTCTTCAAGTATCATCTGATCAGTCATCTGACCAAGTCATCTGATCAGTCATCTGATCTTTCCAGATCATTCCAGCTCCTTCCAGATCCTTCCAGCTCCTTCTAGCTGCTTCTAGTTCTTTCCAGTTCCTTCTGGTTCCTTCCGGTTGATTCCAGTTGCTTCCGGTCCCTTCTAGCTGTTTCCAGTTGCTTCTGGTTCCACCTAGTAATTTCCTTAGGGTTTCTGTTCCCTCCAAGGAAACCCTTTGATCCTGCTGCATAATGGAACACTATTTTCAACACAAGGGTGAGGACCAAAGGCAGAGGCGGGAACGTCGAGCGGGCAGCGTTGAAAAATTTTCTTCAAGGTTTGAAAGTGCGGATGGCCCAAGCGCGCGTGCCATAGTAAGGCAGCAGCGCTGGTCGACGCCGCGGAGATAAGTGAGAAAACCTTATCCGCTTTGTCGGAGTTCAGCGCAATGAGACCCGTAGAGAAGAGAGAATTTTCAACCCGCTTGCCAATGACTTCGCCGTCAAGGTAAGCAGTGTCTCCTTTGAACGTAGCTTCGGAACCGTGTTCAACGAGCTTAATGATGCTTAGGAGATTGAACGGTAGACCAGGAACGTAGAGACAGTTCGAGAGAGAGACCGTACGCGAGCCGAGGCGGAAGGTAACTGCGCCACGACCAAGGATAGGAAGGGAACCAACGCCACGGAGAGTACCCTCGGAGGAGACAAAGGAAGTGAAAAAATCTTTTGTGTTGACTACGTGGTGTTGAAAATAGTGTTCCATTATGCAGCAGGATCAAGGGTTTCCTTGGAGGGAACAGAAACCCTAAGGAAATTACTAGGTGGAACCAGAAGCAACTGGAAACAGCTAGAAGGGACCGGAAGCAACTGGAATCTACCGGAAGGAACCAGAAGGAACTGGAAAGAACTGGAAGCAGCTAGAAGGAGCTGGAAGGATCTGGAAGGAGCTGGAATGATCTGGAAAGATCAGATGACTGATCAGATGACTGGTCAGATGACTGATCAGATGATACTTGAAGAACTTTGTATAAATTTTGTATGAACTTATTTTGTCTATATATTGACCAGCTCCCTCCCTTGTTTTGTACATATCATTCAATGAACAACATATCATATTACATATCAAAGCACACTTAAGGAATATCATCATCAATGGATAACTCTGACAACTTCAATATGTCTGGAACTTCCACTGGCAAAGACAATTTGCAACACGTGGTGAGTTGAAGCAGAGTCCAGGTAGCAGTCAAGAATAGTTCCATTATCATCACGAGAAGTAACACTCAAAGCAATAGCGGGTTTAGCTTGTGCAGAAAGCTTAACAACCGCATCATAACCACCCAACTTTTGAACAAGGTCCCATGCACGCTGACGACAGGCAGAGATAACATGACCTTGGCGCTGGCAATGAGAGCAGCGATTGTTGGACTGGTGATTGTTGTTTGTCGGGCCACCGGAGGTGGCCGGACGACGGAAAGCCGCAGCCGCGATAGGGCCGGAAGAGCCGGAATTGAGAGAGCGGTCAGTACCGGAGTGAGCAGAGCCCAAGGTCTCTCGCCAGGTAAGCGAGACAAGCTTGTCGAGGGCGGAGATGGTGCGACTGGTGTCGAATTCCGGATGGAGGCGAAGACGGGCGTAGACGGCAGGCGGGAGGTTCGCGAGATAAAGCAGAGAAGTCGCTTCTTCGATGGGACGAGAGAGAATCGACTGACGCAATTGTTGAATGAAGGATGTGAGATCCTTTTGAGTGCGATTGTGCAAGGAGCCCTTGGCAAACCAGAGAGAGGCAAAGAACGGCGGGATATCCTTGGTGAGGGCAAGACCATGCCCAGCGCGCATGAATTTGTAGGCACCGCGGTGAGGTTCGTCCTGGATGCGATCATTGTAGAAAGATCCCTTGGCATCCTCAGAGACGGAGGAAGAAACAATTATCCATCTGAGCAACCAGCTGAGTGAACGAGGGCAGCAAAGCCAGGACGGCGTGGGCGTTGGGGTCCGTCACGCCGAAGTAGAAGATGATAGCGGTGCGTCCGTCCTTAAGGTAGGCGGCCAGGAGATCACCATAATCAAAATCTCTGGCCATCATGAGGATGTGTTGCGACCAGGCATAAAAATTGCTCGAATCACGTAGCAGCGACCCTTCAGCGCAGCGAACGGAAGAGGGGGACGTCATAACCTGTTTGAAACTGGCAGTGCATTCCTTAAAGGAAGTATCCAGAGTCTTGTATTCTTCAGGGACGCTCATAGTGATAGAGTAGACAATATATTATTAACTAGTCGTTGATCAGAAATATTAGCTTTGGTTTGTTGTATGGTTTTCTGACAATAATACAAAGAAGCCTTACCTAGTCGTTGATCAGAAATATTAGCTTTGGTTTGTTGTATGGTTTTCTGACAACGAGCTAGGAAGGTAGGAGGGGCCCTTTTTATGTACAAAATTTTTCCCAAAGACCTTCTCTGCCCTAACATCCATCTCAAGGGCACCAGAGTTCAACAACTGTCTTGCGCCACACTCACACGCCACACTGATGTGGCACAATACACAACCTTAACTCCTTCTCTTTTCTCACCACAAAACGTGCAATAACTTTGTGAATAAAGTCACCACAATCTTCCCAAATATACCACCAGAACCGCCACAACTTCAACAATTCGAATATACCATTAGAACCGCAATATTCTCAACAAGATGTATTGGAAGCAAAAACACCAGGAATGTCGGACGAGGGAGACTGAAGACCAGAAAGCAACGAAGGATCGGATGCGAAAGGAAAGACAGACTCGTCAAAGGAGACCTGGTTGGAAATAACAATTCGGTTGGCACGCGGATCAAATAGACGATAGGCCTTATGATTAGGATCATACCCAACAAAGACGCAAGCGGCGCCAACCGGAGCAAATTTGCCATCCCGAGAAGAAAGAGGAACGAGAGGATAAGCAGCGCAGCCGAAAACACGAAGAAAAGAAAGATCGGGCGCTGATCCAGTCCAAAGTTCACAAGGAGATCGCTCAGAGCGCTGCGGAGGAAGACGATTAAGAAGATACGCAGCAGTGAGGAGCGCTTCGGACCAGAAATTGACAGGGACGTGACCACCGAGGAGCAAAGCTCAAGAAAACTCCTGAAGAGTGCGGTGGGCGCGTTCAACACGACCGTTTTGGTGGGACTGGTGAGGCACGGTAAGTTGATGAGCGATACCTTGGTCGCGGAAAAACTCAGTGAGCACGTGATTCACAAATTCACCGCCGTTATCGGTGCGAACAGTAGAAACCTTGTTATCACCACAGCCAATAAAAGAGCGCTCGCGGAGTTTGATGAAGTCAATCAAATGAGAAGCGGCGTCAGACTTTAGCTTCAGCGGGATAACAAACAAAGCTTGAGAGTAATCATCAACAATAGTAAGAAAATACTTGTTGGCAGTAAACTCATCATAGCGAAAGGGGCCACATAGATCAACGTGCAAGAGTTGCAGGGGTTGAGAAGCGTGGTGAGCAGCGACCTTAGGAAAGCGCTGGGATTGCTTGGAAATAGAGCAAGTAGAACAGCTGTGAGGCTTGATGGCAGAAGGGCGGATGCCCAGGAGGCAACGTCGAGCCACCTTGCGCACAGTGGTAAAATGGGGGTGGCCCAAGCGAGCGTGCCAAAGTGAAAGCTCCGAAGACATAGGAGAGCGAAAGGACGTAGCCATAAGCGCTAAAACCTTAAGTGCGGTCGCAGGGGCCGCAGCGATAAGGCTAGTAGCAAAGAGCGTGTTAGCCGCACGTTTGCCGATAACTTGACCATCAAGATAAGCGGTGTCACTGTTGAGAATATTGCGGTTCTAATGCTATATTCGAATTGTTGAAGTTGTGGCGGTTCTGGTGGTATATTTGGGAAGATTGTGGTGACTTTATTCACAAAGTTATTGCACATTTTGTGGTGAGAAAAGAGAAGGAGTTAAGGTTGTGTATTGTGCCACATCAGTGTGGCGTGTGAGTGTGGCGCAAGACAGTTGTTGAACTCTGGTGCCCTTGAGATGGATGTTAGGGCAGAGAAGGTCTTTGGGAAAATTTTGTACATAAAAAGGGCCCCTCCTACCTTCCTAGCTCGTTGTCAGAAAACCATACAACAGACCAAAGCTAATATTTCTGATCAACGACTAGTTAATAATATATTGTCTACTCTATCACTATGAGCGTCCCTGAAGAATACAAGTCTCTGGATACTTCCTTTAAGGAATGTACTGCCAGTTTCAAACAGTCACCCTTGAAAGTAGCAGCAGAGCCCCGAGCAACCAACTTGGTGATACTGAGAAGATTGAAGGGAAGAGCCGGGACATAGAGGCAATCATGAAGAGTGACGAGGCGAGGGCCTAAGCGAAAACGGACAGTGCCACGGCCACGGATCGGAAGAGAGCCGACGCCGTGCAAAACTCCAGTGGCAGGAAGAACCTTAATGAAAAATTTTTCTTCATTGACTACATGGTGGGTGGTACCAGTATCCAAGCAAAAGGGGGGAGCATTTTCATTAGAAGAGCTACCTAAAGACTTCAACGTAGCTTCAGCACCGCCGAGCTTGCGCATCATATCACGACTAAGTTTGTAACATTGAGACATCTTGTGGCCTTTCTTGTGACAGTATTCACAATCACGAGACGAATCCTTCTTCGACGTAGTGCCAGCAGCAGCAGCGATAGCGGTAATCTCAGTGGAAGACGTAGACAACCGGCCTAAAATTTTCTCAACAAGAACAATCATAGACTGAAGCGTCATGTTGTCGTGGAAATCAGGACTGGTAAAGACCGTGCTAAGAACCTCGGGAGGGAAGAACGAAACATAGAGAAGCATATCACGTTCCGCAGGAGGGAGATTAATAGCAGAGTGGAGCAAACGAACACGACGACCATTAATTGTGGAGTCCCGAGAGTGCGAGACAATAGCATTAAGATCTTCAGCAAGAGAGGCGAAAGTCTGAGAGCCATGAAGCTTTTGCATATAGAGATAGTGACCACGATGAGTGTCGTATTCAATCGGAAGAACGGTGATGTTTGCAGACGAAGTGATGGTAATGTCAACCAGAGCGTCGCAAAGAATGTCCAATTGCCCAATCAACGCAGTAGCCTGAGCGCGATTCTCCGCAAGCAACGGAGAATTGTCATCGGGAATACCAAAGTGACGGAGAATAGCCGGAGCGCCTTCGAAGAAATAGTCGCGAAACAAATGATCGAGAGATCCAGCGCGTTCGCGCACGAGAGCTAACCAATCCGAATAATTCGAAGAGTTCACAAGCTTGCGAACAGAGGGAATAAGCGATGCGGAAGATTGCAGATGGGTCATAACCTGTTGAAGTTCTACTGCCTTTGCAGACATAAGTTCTCCAATGGCAGCAGCAGGAGAAGGTCTACTAGCGGTAGAGGAACTCATAGCGTCAAATTATAGTGAAGAATGAATATATTCAGAGGGCTACTCGGAATAGTAAGGAGTAAGACTGATAGCGAGTAGGAAAGGTGGAAGGGAGAGGCTCCTTCTAAGCACAAAAGGGTGCGGCTCAAAGTTCAAAGACATAACAAAAACTTGGTGAGCATTTTGAGCCGCACAACAGCCGCACATAATAAAACTCTCTTTCCACATCAACACTTTCAACACAATAAATATAATAAAATCAATAAAAATAATATAAAACCCTATGAAAAAGGTTTGTAGGTACAACAAGAAATTGTGAATTTCAACAGGAAATGGACTCGGAATCATCGACTTCGACTCCTCCAGCAACCTCTCCCTCGACCGACGATTATTCGACGCCCTCCCCTTCCACTGACGCCCAACAACTCAACAGCGGAATGCACCATGAATAGTTACAACCCAACGCCATATCAAATTCGAATCATTCAACACAACACAGCTAAAGGCTCCGTGAACATGATACAAACCTTCGAGGTGTTGAAATTCACAATTTCTTGTTGTGCCTACAAACCTTTTTCATAGGGTTTTATATTATTTTTATTGATTTTATTATATTTATTGTGTTGAAAGTGTTGATGTGGAAAGAGAGTTTATTATGTGCGGCTGTTGTGCGGCTCAAAACGCTCACCAAGTTTTTGTTATGTCTTTGAACTTTGAGCCGCACCCTTTTGTGCTTATAAGGAGCCTCTCCCTTCCACCTTTCCTACTCGCTATCAGTCTTACTCCTTACTATTCCGGGCTACTCCCGTTCTCTTGTTTATTGTTTACTGATCCACGAGTAGCCCTCTGAATATATTCATTCTTCACTATAATTTGACACTATGAGTTCCTCTACCGCTAGTAGACCTTCTTCTGCTGCTGCCATTGGAGAACTTATGTCTGCAAAGGCAGTAGAACTTCAACACGAGGACTACAAAGACACTGCCGACATTATGATATTTCAGGAGCCAGCCTTTGATACAAGAGCCAGGAAACCTCCTGACCTTGGGTGCTTTGAACTATGCCAGCCAATCACCAGCATCCCAGGTCGGCCACAGGTTCTCACATACAAGAACACCAACAACCCTTATCTCAACACACGGCCTGCATACGAAGGAATATCGGACCACAACTACATTCAAGGCACCTACATTTCGACGGAGAAGATCCCTGAGTTTCTCCTCTTGAACATCTACAATGAGCAAATTCGCCAATCTTCTGATCCCTCATTCACGGTTGAACGCTCCCTGGTCAACTTTGTCCCACCAGCTCGCACAATTATGGCCGGAGACTTCAACGCTCACTGCTGGCTGTGGGATTCTGGCGTACCTAGACAAAAGCATCATGAGGAGTTGGTGGCATACATGCACAGGCACAGCTTTCAGCTTCTCAACGAGCCTGACAAAATCACCAGAATCGGAAACCCTAAGAATGATGAGCGCTCTTCTGTCATTGATCTTACTTTTGCTACTAGCAGGATGATGGATGAGATTGAAGATTGGGCAGTTTTAGAGAGGGAAGGTACGGGATCTGATCATGAAGTCATTCATTTTTCTGTTATATCAAATGACTTGAGCCCGCCAACAAAAGAAGAAGTTTTGAGGCGGAATTTGAAGAAGATTGATTGGGAGATCTTTAACGCTGAGCTCAAGGCTCTTGGCGCTGAATGGATGGAGAATATAAGGAATGATAATACTAATATTACTAACAACAGTGAAGAGCTCTCAGAATTCCTCGCCTGCCAGCTGCGCGACATCATCAGACAAGCGGTGGATGCTTCAGCACCTTTACTGCGAATCTGTGCGTGGTCGAAGCGTTGGTGGAACGAGGAAGTGCAGCAGGCGGTCAAGGACTTTCGACGA